TCAAGTTGATTGTTGGAATACATTGTAGATGGTGTAAGACAATTTGAGTAGCTAAAAAAAAATTATAGCTAAAAAAATATTTATTGTAAACCAAAGAAGAAAATTCTAAACTTACCCTTTTGAATGATTCCAGTGACAAAGAGGCAATATGACCGCAGCTGAATATTATGGGGCTTACTGAAGACATCATCATCATAGCAACGTGCTTTTGGGCGTTAATGCTCAGCAAAAACCAGTTTGTGTTGTACATCTCGGAACTAAGCTCTTCAAACTATAATATAGTCTTCATTATTTTTAGATTTTATTTAAAAAGAAAATTAGGTCTAAAAAAATTATGTTAACTTTTTCTACTTGCATAATTTTTTAATATTAATTTATTAGTGAAGAAAAATCGTAAGAAGTTTTTTTACTTTGTGCGGTTTTTAATAATTTTATATTTTTGGTAATCACACCTCAAGCGTAACTTGATTTCCTGACATACAGATCACGAATATTTGGTAGAACATACAGAGGATGTAACCCAAGCAACCGATGAATTCTGTAGAAAACGGGACCATTTGAGCAAGACTGTAAACGCTGCTACAGAGGATTATTGAACTGAAGGAGTACTGGATGAAAATCATTGGACCAAATACGCGACTCACTGTTTTCACCATTCTGTAAAAAAATAATTTTTTTATTTTGATTAAAAAAATTTATTGAAGATAATTAATACTACACGGAAAAAAATAATCGGTAGATGTTACCGATTGGCGATCGGTAGCAACTACCGATTTTTTTCGGTAGATGCTACCGATTTTTTCGGTGCAGACTACCGATTACCACACGGAGAGAATTTTATGTTAACGGTAACCATCCTTATTTTGTAGCTTCTACTATCCAGGATGGTTATTAAATTTTGCAAAGTTAAGATGATAAATGGAACTACCCGGCGATTGTAATTAGTACAATCAGTACATATTAATTCCCACAATTATATAAAAACTACACAAGAAGTGTAAAAAACTAAATTTTTTCGATTTTAGAGTCAGAATATAATAACATTCTAATGTTTGACATAAGAGTGAGTATTGAAAAAAGTATATTTATATTATTAAGAGAATAACAAAAATTTCGTCTTCAGGATAGACATATGATAAAATAGGGTTTTTTAGTGAAATTTAGTGTCATTGCAGAGGTCTTGACTTGAATTTGTGCCTTTTCAAGGTTTCATATCACTCTCATCGATAGTCAATTTATCATGATAAGTATTTAGGCTGCATTCGAAAATGCTCTATTTCTAGACACATAATTAAGAAATGACCTTTTATCTTGTTAACTATTGACATTTTTAAAGATATAAGTTCATCCCGACATTAAACTCATCGAGACCTTTCATTTGAGTACCCACATCAATTTTTCATATATTTTATATATTTATATATATTATATAGGGGAGGGAGGGGCAAAATGGGGTAGGGGTGGCAAAATGGGGTACCCCCAAAATTTCGTTAAAAAATTTTTTTTTTCCAAAAAGCTCTTTCAGCTTTCTAACATATATTTTAACATCATTTCCTATAATTTAAGAGAAAAAAAAATTTTTCAATTTAAAAATCAAAAAAATTTTTTTTCTAACTTTTTTACAGTAACTTTGATCGTCATTGT